AAAATTCTCCCAAATCTTAAAAAAATTTTTTAAGACTTCCGGCCGAGGCAATATTTTTCGCAATAAGTTTATTACAGTTTTTTAAGATTTGGGAGAATTTGGGGGGATTATTTGTTTCAGATTGATTGTGCGAATCCGATAATTTCATCGGCTTTCAATTTATTTCTGAAATATTAATTCAATTTAAATGAATGTATACTCGTATTAGATAGTAGTTCAACATCTTAACACCCGGACCGGGAAGGCGCTTTGTATTTAAAATTTTTATTTTTTAAGACAATATTGAATTGGAGATATGTAAGCACTAAGCAGTATAAGGCCAGTTTCTACCAATGTAGTTTAACTTTAATCTTGGGTCAATTTAGGGCCTTAGTAGAAGATTGACTTATAATCTTAAGACAGTTCTTGTACTAAAGACATGAGACTTAGGCTCAGTTCCATAACTCACAGTTAACTCTTAACCGAGGTTCAACTTATTCTTTATTTCTTTCCAATTCTAGAATTGAAAAGAGATGAGGAATAAGTTGATCCACGATTAAGAGTTAACTGTAAATTGTGGAACTGAGTTTTAATTATAAAATACTGTCTCTATGATTATAAGTCAGCCTTTCTGCTAAGATTTTTATTCTTCATCTTTTTCTAATTCTTAAAACTAGAAAAAGATGAAGAGTTAGTTGAACCAAGATTAAAGTTAAACTGCATTGGTAGAAACGGGCATAAGCACTTTAACTTTACACTTAAACTAGTGTAAAGTAAATAGATCATTTTTTTTCTTTTGTTGTTGCTGTTTTATTTTTATTATCTTCTGCTACGTAATCTACGTCGACTACGTCAGCGATTTATAACGTCGCCAGTGGTCGTTTACAGCTTTTTGATAATTTTCTATAAAGTAACATACTATTCTTACGTAAATTATCATAATCAAACAAGGAAATAAGAAAACATTCCGTGGACACCCTGTGTAATATTGCTACTTAAAATCCTTTTCCTCTTTAAGAGGATTTTACTCTCCTGTAGTCGCTGTAAAAGTGGCAACATTGGATCATGACGTCATAAGTAAGAAATGACACGCTAAAGTTTCTTGCATAACATTTATAAATAAAGAGAATTTAAGTAAAATCAAATAATAAGATTGATTTAAAACACTTGTAAAAATGGGCAAAGTCTATCCTTACTTCCTCCTTGACCCCTTCTGAGTTAGTAAATAGTAGTAAAGAAAACGTGACATGAAACAGGCTGCGCATGCGCATTGAATAAATTTTGATAAATTTTTCAGTCTTCTCGTGGCTTTTACAATTATTTACTGACTGTCATGGGAGTTAAGGAGTCTTCATCCATTTTTATAAGTGTTGCAAGAACCGACTAACCACAGCATTCCTTTCTCAGTCTTTTGACTGTAAAAGGGGAATGCATTGTTCTTGTTTACCATAGCCGACGCTCGGCCGTAGAGATATATATAATTACATCATAGAGATATGTATGTTTGGTAGACTGTAGTCGATGATCGTATATACCGAAGAGATTAAAATATCCGAACCGAAAGCTGGAAATCTAATCGAAAAACTTTTTCGATCCGGTTATGAGGATAGCTACACCGAATCTAATTCACTAGGTGCTAGTGCATATATGTATACGGTGTGTGTGTGTGTGTGTGTGTGTGTGTGTGTGTGTGTGTGTGTGTGTGTGTGTG